GGGGGGGCTTGGGTATTTTGTGGCCTAAGTCCCGCTGATTCTGAAAGAGAATTGCTTTAGAAAACTATTTATAAACCAAGCCTATTTATAAATAGCAGGGTAGTAGCAATTATGAGCAGGTACATTAACCTTATTATGGTCTATTAATAAAATCAGGTAACTTTTACTCTGTAAAAGCACACAGGCAAGAACTGCAAATCTTACTTTGTAGCTACGTTCCTGCAGTCATAGGTTTTGACAGATGGAAAAGGCAGTGATTCTTGAAAAGATGGTACTGACGATGTTGAACCAGTGTGTTGTTATAGAGCCAGCTGTTAGTACATCTTGATTCCTTATGCCTCTCCCGTGCCTTTATGGTTGCTTGTTCTTTCTTCTGGAGTTTTCTTTTTATTTTTGTTTTTTTCCCTCACCATCATTAAATCTAGTACCAGAATTTATTTCCTTGCATTTGCGTTATCATTGCGTTATCAGCCTTGGCACAACGCGATTTTTCTTTTCTTTCTTTCTTCCTTTTTTTTTCCTTTGAAGTCCTGTGTAAAGCAGGTTTAAAATGTTCAGCTTCTACTAGAGAATATTTACTGTTGCAAAAAAGAAAAAAAAAGTGTGACAATGTTTAGGTGATAAGATCCCTTCTACACTTAAGAAGTAAAGACGTAAAATTTAGAAGTTGTGGTTTTAGTAAATGTTTCCTTCATAGCTCTGAAAATATTAATAGCAGTGGCTACTTTCTGCAAGTAGGTATAAGTAGATACCAAGCTCATTAGAATACAATGACTAGGAAACCTTAAAATAAGGCCTCAGATAGTTAAATATATTCTGAAATGAGCTTTTAGACGTGCTTCATTTGTCTTATTATTCCCGCCAGGTCAGTGTAACAGCCAGAAAATGGTTCTGGGGATCAGAAAAAAAAGTGTAAATATCTGTTAAAGAGTTTTGATAGCACGGATTTACTCACTAAAAGTAGTGCTTCTGCGAGAGTTGTACTGGTACTATGGATATTATGGTCGTGATCAGGGCTGTGTTCTTCTGGTAGCAGATATCTCAGGGGCTACTTGAAAATTTAATGCTTTGAGTCAATTTTGCAGACATTTCATTATTTCTTACTGTGTGGTTAGTCCTATTGAACTCTGACTGCACACAGAGTAAGTGCATTGTTCAAGTCTTTACAAACTTGTAGGCTAGTGAAACAGTAGATGCTGAGAAATTCTAATTGCGATGCTCTTTCATGTTGTTGAAGGTGTGAGAGTCCTCGTAGATGCCAGAGAGAAACTTCATATTCCTTGGGGAGATCCCGCCAACCAGAGCAATGGAGATACGATGATGGCTTTTGATACGCGGTCAGTCACAGTGGTGCAAGGAATGGTGGAGACAGCGGTTTTTTTACAGTACCTTCCAGCTATCAGAGCGCTATGGGCAGATAGTGGTATCCAGCATGCGTATGACAGGCGCAGAGAATTCCAGCTGGTAAGATTTGCCTTTCAGTGTTTTTAGTTGAGCGTGTATGATGTCTTGTATGATGTCTTGTTCCTATATTGCTTTTCAATGAAACGCTGATCAAGCAGCCTCCATGTGAATGTTAAGCGTGTTTGAATGGTTGAGTGTTACACTACGGTATTGTAAACAGATGTGTTTAACTCCTTTTTTCTTTTTTTAAACCAAGAATAATAAAGAGCTCTGACACAGTTGTCCTCGTTTCATGTGTGAGAGAACTGAGACACAGAGTTTTTAATTCCGTAACTAAGCTAGGAGCTGATGGCTAGAAGCTGTGTAGTGTGTTTACCATATGATTATTCTGACCCCTTGTTAAATAGTGTATTGGCATTAAAAAAACATTGGATTACAATAAAGAAAGGCTTAATAGTATTGTGATTTTTAAGAAAAGATATGCATGGGTTAATCAGAAGAATTTAAAAACCACTCCCTTCTCAATTCCAATTTGAGCTATCTTGCAAGCATTCCCTGTGTATACTTCCTGTTTAAATTTAAACGTGTATGTTAATTCTCATGTAATGAGGTTTTTGTTATATTGAAGTTCTCAGCTGAAGATGGAGTACACAGTTCAGTAGTGGAGTTTGAAAGAAAAAAGGAAACACATCTTGATTCTTGAGCTGGAGCTTAAACTGTCCCTTCACTCAATTTATATGTTAATGCTGCAAAAGGAGAGGAAGACTTTGTTACGCTTGCTGTTTATTCATTTGTAGACTTGCACAGTAAATTGCCAATGTTAAAGACCTTTTTAGGGGTGGGGCAGTTTGAGAACCTTAAAATAGATTAAATCTGATGTTCTGTTCTTGCAGAACTATTAAACCTAAGTGGCTTTATGTTTTAACGTCTTAAAAATAACCTTTGTGTTAGTGTGAATCTGAACAACAGGTGATGGTGCCTCCTGTTGAGCTATTATGAACAATTGTGTAATCATACACTGACTTAAATAGGTTGTGTAAATACTTGTTATAAATATGTATTGGCCTAATCCTGGAACTTTTTCCAGAGAATGTAGAATGGGCAAATGCTCGAGTAGCCTATCAACTGCCGGGCCTTGTTCTGTGCTGTGTAAATAAGTTTCTAATAAGACCCGTGGCTCTTTGCATTCGTTTGATGTGACGGTACAGTTGGATGTTAAAGGAATTGTATTAAAACTGAGTTTTGCCTTCAGAAGGATCATAAAGGGGTAATTGTTCTACTAAATTCAAGATCCTCTTCTGGTGCAGATGTGATTTAGGGATGTAATTGTTGTGATGGAGTAATCTGTTTTAAAATCTGTTAAATAAAATTTTGTCTTTTATTAAGCATGTTTAGTGACTTTGGGCTAGATAGCTCCCTTTTCCTTTGCCGCCTCTGTCGTTTTGAGTCTCTGACAAGTAGGTTCTTTCCATAACTGAAGCACGTAGAGTTTCACTTTGAGTAGGGTTTGAAGTATATGTGTTCTTCTGAAATCTATCAGAGAAAACGACTGCTTTCTTTTATTAGTCCCCAAATCTGTATTGTGCTCTCTGTGAAAATATATCTCTATCACAGTATGCTTTAGGCTGAACTTGAGAATATTTTTAAAAGAGCTCTTAATAGTTAAATACTGCCCTAATCTTCAATTTTGCGAATAAGTTGACTGCTTTATTTACACTTGCATTGCTTTATTTCCTAAATCCTTTCAAAATCTCAACCCAAGATATTTATGCCAAGTTGTAAACATTAAAAAAAAAAAATGTTGAATGATGTCATTGTATTGAGTGCAGGCAGTGTGATCAGCGCTAGCCAAGCGTGAAGTCTTGGTTGCTACCCCGGTAAGCTTCCAGTTTAAGTTATGACAGAGCTCAGTGTGGGCGAAGGAATAGCAGAACACTCCTGAAGGAGTACATATTTTTGCCGTATCTGCTGACAGGCTTTGTGGAAACGTGTTCTGAGAACTTAAGTTGTGTAAAAACTGTAGCATAACATGGAAGGAAGACGCAAATCGGTTAAGAAGGGAGGTACAGGCATATCCAAGTCAGTAGGAGGGAGAACAGGGGAAGCTGAAAGAGAAGTGGAGAGTTCAGTACTGTTGAGTGCTGACTCTTGAAGTAAAGATTACAGACTGAAAATTGTTAGTGCTGTAAAATGGGGAGGAGGGGGAAAATATGAACTTATCTACTTCTAGTTCAACTGCATGTGGCAAAAAATGTAATGAAAGGAAAGAATCAGTTGTAGATGAATAAGGTGAGTAGGAGAGAGGGAGGAGTGGAGAAAAAAGCATGTGATTAATAATTTAACTGGAGTTTTCCTAGCTCTTATGTTTGTACTTGTGAAATGTTCATTTACAGGATTGTAAAGGTTGACTGTTTTTGTTGAGATTTGCTTTGAGGCACTGGTGGTTAAGGAAGTGTCCAGTGCTGGCGCAGTGTATTTAGTAACAGTGAGGAAGGTACTTTGTAAGAATGCTTTTATACGCTGTCTCTCACATCAGTGTTAGCTATGAGCTTGCATTTCTTGAATTTGGTGTGAGAGTCGTTGACGGAGAAGCACTTTTGAAGTCATGTCTTAAGAGCTTTCGGCTTCTTTGACAATGGAAAAGAAGGATGAGAGTTACTCAGATGCACCATAAACTTTGAATATATTAAAGGGTTATTCTTGGTAGAGATAATTTTAGGATGGTTTTAGATGTTTGCTACCAACATTTGTTGATCTTGAGATAAATACTTTCTACCCTTCCTGCGAATTGCACTAATTGTTTTTTGTTTTTTTTTTTTTTTTAATACCATGAACCCTCAATGTGTAGAGGCAGCGATGACACTGTCATCGGTCATTGTACTCTATCAGCATTTACATAGAACTGCCGTTAAAGTAGCCATGAAATACAGTAAGGATGATTGGATGTGCATTTACCTCTGGATCCTGTTTACTTTTGTGACATGCCTGCAAGTGCTAGATCAGATTATAGAAGACAGGAAAAGGCGTGTTCGACTTCAAGTTCTACTGTTAGTTTTGCTGCAGTTTCTCTGTAGCGTTTTGTGTTGCAGAGTAGCATTTTTGGAGAACATTGTTCATTTTACTGTAAGATTTTATTTCCTCTGACATTCTTGTTGGGCTTTTCTGGGTTCTGCCTCTGAATCTTGGTGAGGCTGTATGGTGTACAAGAGAACATTACGTTGCTACTTCTGCTGGAAAGAAGCAACCCTCAAATGGCCACTGCAAAGCATCAGCAAAATGTATTATTTTTCAGGTCCATAGGTAACAGTTCCTCAAAATGTGCCCAACTATACCCTAACGATTCCCAAGAAGATAGATGGTTTGAAGCCAAACTAGGCTGCCAGATGTTGACGTCTTCCTCTTTCTAAAGCGTGGATGCCCATGTTATGAAACAGCTATGAAGTCAATATTCAGCTTCTCTCTCTGAAGTCCACGAACATAGAACCTGAAAGTGATTCATTAACAGTATCTGCATCAGATTTGTGACGTTGAACTTCAGGAGCCTTTCAGCAGCTTGTAGCTTCTGGATTGTGTCAGTTTTACTCTCAATGTTTATCTTCTGTAATGCTCCCCACACCCCTGATTTGCAGGATTAAGATGTCTTCCTCCCTCCCTTTCCCAGATCTTTTCTTACTTCTGGGACTAGGTGTTCAGTTCTGTTATGTTCTGCTTGACGTGCGTAGGTGGCTTTCATATTGAGGCATGCATGAGTGCATAAACTTTTGGCAAAAAGTTTCTCAGACAGATGTCAGAATCTTCTTCGCTAAGGACCTGAGATCCAAATCACTCAGTGTTTCTATAAATGCATGCATTCGCCATTTGGTCATGTATTTGTTTAATTCAGAATTACTGTATTTAGCTACAGTGCTGGGATTACACTGATTATTGCTTAAATTCTGTGTAAAATAACTGCTACTGCTCTGTACTTAAATATGAATTATTTCCCCTCTTTCCCCAATCAATAGGTCTGCCAAACATCAAATAACAGGATGGCATGTGTACGGTGAGCATGACTCGTAAAAACCCTTGGAAAGATTAGAGCTACCAATTACCATCTGCTGGCTTTACTTTTTGCGAAAGTGATTTGTCGAGGATTGTTGCCATAACTGGAAGGAAGAATGCTTTACAAATTTCTGCTTAGAAATGGGTCATTCAAATCTTCAGAAAAGACTCGGTTCTTGAGAACTTGCTAATTTTCCTTCCCTGCAGACAAGATTATGTTGACTTTAAATTCATATTAATAAGACTCCATAAAGGCATTAACACTGGCGTTAAACAACGAGGAGGTTTGAGTTGTTGTTTTTTTTTTTTTTTCCTTGGTTTGTGGCCAGAAAGCATTCAATGCATGTGCTAGTGCTTTGGTAATGGTGATTTACCATAATACTTTAATTGATCTGGATTATCTTCAAATGAGCCGTTATGCTAATTTAATGCTAAATGCCAATTTTTCTAGTTTTCCAAATTAAGATTTGATTTTCTATGTCAGCATCTGTGAGTTACTGCACCTTGTAAGTGTCTGCTTTCTGTGATTGCCTTCTTCCCCTTTCCAGTGTTCTTCTCTTCTGGTCTGTTAACTTTTTTCTTTTTAGCTGTAAAATACCGAAGTGTTTGGAGAGCACTGGTCTGGAATTGCCCATTGATGCTGTAATGCAAGCCAGTCTTTTTTCCCTGAGGAACATGGTCTTTTCTGGCCCCCCCCCCCTTTTTCCCCCAGGAAATACATTCACCCTTACCCCCTGTAGTTTAACTTCAAGTTTACAAGTAAATTTGATGCAGCCTTTGTCTCTGCTTACAAAGTAGAGTGCTCACTGTGGTTGTTAGGCTGCATCTGGCCAATGTAATTGGTGCGATGTCTGTCTGTATGAATGAATTTTTCTTTTCTCCTCTTTTTTTTTTTTTAACAACTGCTCCAACTGAGTATCTTTTTTAATATTGTTATTAGTTTTAAGTACAGATGTGGCTCTAGATTGAGAGGTCTTTAAATGGGAGCTGTCTTGATGTGGACGTGTTATCCCCACACA